AAATAGGAATGCAAGATAATAGAGGTGGTGTGATCACTATAAACGGTGGTAACATGGCAGAATATTTTATGAAGAAGAGTCAGCAGTTCACCTCCACGATAAAGAAAGAACAAGAAGAAATCGAATCAGAAAGCGAACTAACGAAATATGTTGGATTTGGATTTTCCTCGCAGGTTCAGAGGGAAACGAAGTCTGTTGAAGAGGAAGAAGATGCGAAAGGAGTAGGAAAGAAGGTGGAAACTAAAAAGAGCCAACGACATAAAGAAGATTCTCCTAGCAATTATGCTTTTGAAAATCCTTGTATACAATTAGATAGTCCAGAAATTGTTTCTAATTCTAGTAAATGTAAATCGTATAAAAGAAAGTCTTTAGATGATATTAAACCAAGTCCAAGCAAGAAAGTTAAGAAGTTTAAGAGCGATGAAAGCGTAAGTGAGAGTGAATATGGGATTGTAAACGCTGCTATGGATTTAGATGTAGATAATGAACCAGTAAATGAAACTTTTAATGGAAAAGAGTTTGAAGTGCCTAGGGTACAATTTGGTTTAACAAATACTGGCTTAGATTTGAGCGATGAGACAAATGTTAAAAAGAGGAGAGTAACTTTCAATGACCATGTGGAATATAGTACTGATCCTATCAACAAGAAAAAGAAACTTATCACATTGGACAAATTCGAGGTCGAGAACACAAAGAGGAAGAAGAAGAAATCAAAGGATAAGAAAAAGGATCATCATGTAGTCAATGATAATTCGATTTCGTCGGGTTTTGTGAACGAAGCCTTAGAGTTGGTAGAACCCACAGAAGTTAACGATAATGAGATGGTGAATAAGAAAAAGAAGAAGTCAAAGGATAAAAAGAAACCTAAACCAGATGATGATTATACATCGTCTGGTTTTGTAAACGAAGCTTTGGATTTAGCTTCGCTAGAAAAATCTGTGGAAGTGAATGATAACGAAATTAACGAGATCAGTGAAGTCAGATGTGATAATGTGAGAAAAAAGAGAAGTCGCAGATCGAATTTGGAAACAATTATAGAAATTCCAGAGGAAGATGGATTAGATGTGACTAAAAGATCTAAAGTTGAAGATGATATAACTGAAATTGACAACAGCGTGGTCGCTGTTGATAGTAATCAGTTGCAAGACGATGGAGCTAAGAAAAAAGACAAGAAAAAGAAGTGCAAAGGAAATATTGAAGAAGAGCATAAAAAGGTAACAACAATAGAAGAGAAAAAAATAATTTTAGAATCAGGTAACGTAAGATTGGAAGAAGAAGATGAACAAAGTATAAATGAAGAAAAAAGGATAATGGATATTTTACAAGAGAAGAAGATGAGGAAAAATAAGAGCAGTGATCAACTTGAAGAGGAAGTCCAAAATGATACAGAAGCCGTAAAGCTCAAGAAGAAGAAGAAGAAAGAAAATCAAGATAAAAGTATTGATCAAAATTCAGAAATTAATCCAGAAACTGATGGAAACAAAGAAAATGATGTTCATGAAGAATTTACCGAGACCGAGTTGAAAAAGAAGAAAAAGAAGAAGAAGAAAGATAAAGACGAGAATAATCTTAACGTAAGTAAGACAAATGATTTGAATAAATTAGAGGAGGGAACAGAAATTAAGAAAGGTACTCCTAATAAAGAAAGTCGAAAAGAAAACAGTTCGAAGGAAACTGAATTAACAATCGAACCAAAGGAGAATAGCTCAGAAATTCAGTATTCACAGGACAATAATATCGATGCAACACAGAATACTGAATTTCGAAATAATAAAAATAGAAGATTTTCAAGTAGTAACAGGAGGTCTTCTACGAGGAATAATTCTAATAATGATAATTCAAGTAGTCCTCGGAACCAAAGATCGAGGATGTCGAAAAAATTGTTAGTGTCATTGTTTAATAAGAGTTCAGTGCACAATTTTCCGGGATCTAATATGGACGAAATAAAAGGATACGGTGTACAATAAGACGTGTACGAATCTTGAGGAATGAGGAAGAAGCTAGTATGTATTTCAAGTAGTTTGTACATTAAAATATTGTCGGTCTACGACAACATCTGTTGACATGCGACTTGCGTATGTACATATAATCATTTTTATT